AAGAAATCACAGGAGAGTGGGATGAGTATAAATGTTGAAGCTCTGAAGAAATTTTGAGTTCAAATCCTAACTCTGAGACTTACTATGTGATACTCAGTTTCCTGTAAAATGGCTCCCATGATCAAGTACCTTGTTGGGTTCGTCTTGGGGTTAGAAATCTGTCTAGCATGGCATCCAACTTTCAGTAGTTGGTAATGATCTGTAAAGTGTTCAGTGCCAAACTTGACTAAACAATATACAAGAAAAAAAGGTAGGTTATAGAAGCCACACAGGAAAATTTGCTGATAATTTTGGCAATAACTTAAAAGATCTCTCCATACAACACAAACATAAAAACCAAGCTGTTATGTCACTGCATGCAAAACTACCAGGCGTAATAGATTCCTTCAGCAATTTCAAACAATAAAATAGCTCAAAAATCTGAAAGGTAAAGACCTGTAATAAAGGGAGTGGGGAGAGAAATGTGAAGAAATGACTTTCTTTTGTTCCACTCCACTTCAGTGGGGGACACAGAGAGCACATTAATTTCTTCTTTCTCTTTCTTCCTCTCTTTTTTTTAGAAAGATTTATTTATTTTTATTGGAAAAGCAGATGAGATTTTATGGAGTGAAGGAGGGACACAGAAAGAACTTCCACCAACTGGTTCACTCCCCAGACGGCCACAATGGCTGGAGCTGAGCCGATCCAAAGCCAGGAGCTTCTTCCGGGTCTCCCACATGGGTGCAGGGTTTCAAGGCTTTGGCCCATCCTAGACTGCTTTCCCAGGCCACAAGCAGGGAGCTGGATGGGAAGTGGAGCAGCTGCTCATATGCGGTTCCGGTGCTTGCAAGGTGGATATTCAACCATTGAACCACTGCACTAGGCCCAGAAAGCACATTTTCTTAGAATGAACTCCTCTGTAAGCACGGAATGGATGCTCTGTATCATGGTTCTTTCCAACTGCAGATGCCTAACAGCACCATTTATCTCAATACAGTAATGCAGAACAGCTGAGGTAGAAAAAGGATGAAATTTAGCTAGAGCTAAATCTGAAAATAAATATTGAAAGTAAAGGCAACAAATAACTGAGTCTCGATTACTTCAGCGATCCTCACAGATGCCAGACTCAAGACATAATGCTAAAGCTACATAACCTCCAAAAGCAGAGCAAACCAGGATTTTAACTGTGAGAAATATCATACCACTCGGTATTGGCTGTTTAATACATTACATAGGATAGCCACTCAGAACAAACAAAATGAAACCACCCATATCTACAGTTTTTAAAAGTATTACCACATTATCATGCTTTTTGTGTAGGACAGATAAAGCACTTAAGTTGCACTACTTAAGTTCACTCCACATCCAGGTGCAGTTATGCTTATGCTAAGAGAAAGGGCAGAAGCTATCTGTAGAGCACAAGAAAAACATGCTGAAGGGCAAGTGCAAAATAAGGATGGGCACGTTCCAATAAGGAGGTGATGAGAACATGGAGGAAATCCATTTTGATTCAAGTTATGAGCTGAAAAGGCTTTCCAAAAAGACTCTGTCTAAAGCAGTGATTTTTGAAGGTGATAGCCACCTTTAAAAACAGCATACAAGAACCAACCATCTGGGAGTCATGGAAAGTGGGTTTTGTCTACATTACAGCCATATGTCATTCTACTCTCCTTTGGTTTAAGAATCACAGATGTTGTCTCTTAGTGTTATTGATGGCTAGGCATACAGGTTTCTTGTGTCAAGCAGTATTTAATTGATGATTATTTAGTGTCGTATTTCTTATTATGACAGTTCTGGGAAAAGGTCACAAGTGTGACAATGAAAGAAGGTGAGAAGTACAAGATGTAATGGGAAGATCACTTAAATACACAAAGATTATCTTCTAATGAATATAAAGTGTGAAGACAGAAGAATAAAAATTGGTAGACAATACAAAATTCTCAATTTTCTATCTCCATTATGTCAAGTAAACAAGGGTAAAAGGACACTGGAACTGAGGAACTCTATTGAAACTGGTTAAATTCAACTTACTACTGATTTCTGAAAGCCTGGATTCCCCTAGTAGGAAATAAGAATGGAAAAATAACTCAATAATATAACATTTTGTGGACGTTAGTGTCTTCACTTAAGAGATCAACTTTTCTTTTTTCAAAAATATTGATTTGAAAGGCAGAGTTTACAGAGAGAGGGAGAGATACTCCCCAAATGGTTACACAGACCAGATCTGGGCTGGGCCAGGGCCAAGTCCGTTTTCCTGGTCTCTGATGTTGGGGGCATGGGACCAACCACTTGGGTCATCCTTTGCTGCTTTCCCAAACAGGGAGCTGGATTGAAAGAACAGCCATCAATACACAAACTGGCACCATATGGGATACTGGCATTGCAAGTGGCAGCTTAATTCACTACACCACAACACCAGCTCAGAGAGATCAACTTTGAACTTTTCTAACTTTCCATTTGTTATTTTTTTCAACTCATATTCACAATTCTGGCTGCAAAACTAAAATAATCTGGATAACTTAAGAATAGCAATGTTAGGCCTAGCAAAATGGTTCAACTGGCTAATTCTCTCATCATAAGAATATGTGCACTTCCCATCCAGTCCCTGCTTATGATCTGGGAAAGTGATAGAGGATGGCCCACGGCCTTGGGACCCTGCATTCATGTGGGGAGCCTAGAAGAGGTTCCTGGCTTCAGACAGGCTTAGCTCTGGCTATTACAGTCACGTGGGGAGTCAACCAGCAAACAGAAAATTTTCCTGTGTCTCTCCTCTCTGTAAATCTGCCTTTCCAATAAAAATAATCTTTAAAAAAGAAGAAGAACAGCAATGTCTAGGTCCCACAAGTTTAAATTTCTCTTGAACTCAAGCACAGATAGCTTTTGTGGTTTTTAATTATTTACTTAAGATGTAGATAAACAGATAAAACAGAGCTCCCATCTGCTGGATCTTCCCCCAAATGCCTCTGCAACAGCTTACAACAGGCAAGGTGGAGATGAATGCTAAGAACTTAATCCAGGTCTCACACATTAGTGGCTTGGATTCAACTACTTGAGCCATTATCTACTGCCTCTCAAAGTTCACATCAGCTGGATGTGGAAGTGGAGCCATTTCTCAACGAGAGCATTCCTGGGTGCGATGCAGATATCCCAATCTCTCCAAAAAAATGCTTAGCCCCTAAAGAATGTTTTGAGAGGCATGGCTGTTAAGACAATGATGCATTCGAGAAATAGCACAATCTTTAAGGATATTTTTTTGGCTAAAAGACAAAAAAGAAAAAGATCCCTATGTGACAATGGCTACCTCTACACCCAAGCAAGTCTAACAGCTTCTTTTTATCTGAAGCAATACTTGTGGGAATGTCTACAGATGATTAGAAAGCTACGTAAACTGCTAGAAAACTCACTGGTTTGGGGAGTTCACAAGGGCTAATACAAAGTCAAACAGAAATAGTATGTACCTCTTTCTAAGTTAAAGTGGGTCCAAAAAAAAAAAAAAGAGTAAGTCTGGCAACATCAAAATCCTCCTGTCCTGCAAACTTCTTTGTCATCAAATACCTATTTGTCAGAGTCTACCCTCTGGAAAGCTCCCAGAGGCGAAAGGTATAAACATCATGGGGAAGCAATACTTGAGTTGTGGCTGATGTATCAACAGAACACAAAGAGCTATTTTATATTTTACTTTTATAAGAGATTCTCAGGCGCCTCTCAAAATAAATCTTCATTTGTCAGTTCCCTGTTTTTTGTGAGGAGGCTATACAGCAACATAGAATGATCACACTAGGAAAGCACTGGCTTATGTCAGCAACCAATCCTGCCTATTAAACATATGAATATAAAAAGCAAGCAGTCATATTCTCAAGGAAGACAACAGGAGTGCTCATTTATATCAATATAAGCAAAAGTCCACAGCCTGGTCAGTGAGGAGATTCTGGAAGCAGTGACTTTCCATCAGCAAAATGCAAAACCTACAGAGCTATGACTGTAAGGCTATTATTTCCTTAGACTCTTTGTCAGATGAAAAACAAACATCTCTGTACTGTCTGCCATAAATCCCAGACAAATACTACTCATAAAGTAAAAGGAAAGATGCCAGTGGAGGCAGCAGAGACGGAGGCTGCTTTGTTTATGTAATCTCTGAGAACACATATCTTTGTTTTAATGGTTATCTGCCTCCCAAAGATGCTGGGAATAAAATCAATTTGTTGTGCATCTTTACAATCATCAGGTTGACAAGCAGCTCATTTGGAAGTGTCTGGCTAAAACAGGCTCTCTAATTCCACCGGAGCTAAGTATTAACTGTGTAGAGCCATGTGAGGAGATCTGTCATTTTTCTGGCCTTCCCTCTACAGATTAAAGTATTTCTCATTTATCTATACAGAAATCAAAAATAATTTTGGTTCTCACTGGTAACATATAATCACAGATATTTCTGGTCATTGGAGCCTTTTAGTATTAGAATCCTGGAAGCTAATTAAATTGGAAGTATAACAGCGTAGAGATGGTAGAATCCTTTCCAACTGCAATAATGGTACTTTTTAAATGCAAAATGGCTCAAATGCCTGCCTCAAAACCTATTAGAAGTACACTAGGTATAAAACCAATAAAACATAACAAAGGCAGAGATTGAAAAGTCTTGAAATAGGGATGATATATATTAAGTCACTTTAATGCGGTTTAGGTCAAAAGGACAACTTACAGTGGGGTATCCAGAGCTAAGCAGGAGCAATAATAAAATTTGGAAAGAATATTAAATATTAACATTGCTGAACAATAGCTTGGTTAAATATCAAAAGTTCTATTTAGAGGCAAGACGACAAAATAATCTGATATACTTGCAGACATACCCTGTATGATGATCAGTATTATATCAACTCTCTAAAGACAAAGAATCCTGTCCTTTCTCAAAGGACATTACTGCTCATCAAGGAAAGATCTAGTTCTAAAAAGCTGAATAATTTAAAATTCTCTGGCATATGAAGTACTAAAAATAACCAATAGAAATGGGGAAGAATGATGCTTACCAGACTATCTAGTCCTCCTCCCAAGAGGTCCACAGCTCCCATCTGCATGGAGGACACTTGGGGCACATTGACCGGGGGACCAAGGTCAAGGTTTAAAAGATCTCCCAGAAGGTCACCCTGGGAGGGGATAACCTGAGGCTGTTCCAGGTTGGTCGCAGTGGTGGTGCCAACAGGGCTGTCACCTGCATCAGTGCTGCAGTCACACACAAACAGGAGAAAAAAAAAAGCCAATTTCACGTAAGACACACCAATATGACAACAGATAAAAATCAGAAATATAACAATAAGATACTATAAAAATTCAATTAACAACAAATGTGTTCTTAAAATTACATAGGTTTGACAAGACATGAATATAGAGGAAACTGCTTGGGACACCGGCATTCCACAGTAGAGTGTCTGGGTTCAAGTCCCAGCTCTGCTTCTTATTCCAGCTTCCTGCTAATGTGCACTGTGGGAGGCAGCAAGCGCTAGATCAAATAACTGCATCTCTGCCACCCACGTGGGAGACCGGGACTGAGGGTCAAGCTTCACGCTGGTCCAGCCTTGGCAGCTGCAGGCATTAACCAACAAATGGAAGATTTCTGTCTATCTTGGTATGTGTATCTCTCTCTAAGTAAAAATTAAATTTAGATTACAAAAATTGCTGGTGGAGGGACTGTCATGGTGTTGCTGTGGTGCAGTGGGTAAGCTGCCACCTGTGGTGATGCTGATGTCACCTTCAAGCCAGTTCAAGACCCAGCTCAGCATCTGATCCAGCTTCCAGGTAACGCACCTGGGAGATCCAGACAGAGCTCCCAGCACCAGACTTTGACTTGGCCCAGCCCTGGTCCAGCCCTGGCCATGGGAACTATTTCAGGCAGGAACCAGCAGATGGAAGATCTTTTCCTGTCAGTCACTCCCTGTAACTTTACCTTTTAAATAAATCAATTAATTGTTTAAAAAAATCATTGGGGCGCTGCAGAGAGTGGCGCATTAGCTTAGTGGCTGAAATTCCTTGCCTTACATGTGCCGGGATCCTATATGGGCACCAATTCATATCCCAGCTGCTTTACTTCCCATCCAGCTCCCTGCTTGTGACCTGGGAAAGCAGTAGATGAAGGGCCAAAGCTTTGGGACCCTGCAGCATGTGGGAGACTAAGAATAAACTCCTGGTTCCCGGCTTTGGATCAACTCAGTTATGGCCACTGCAGCTAGTTGGGGAGTGAACTAGCAGACAGAAGATCCCTCTTTCTGTCTCTCCTCTCTGTAAATCTGACTGTACAATAAACATAACCAAATCTTAAAATAAAGAAAAAAAATCACTGGGGGGCCTGGTGTAGTAGCCTAGTGGTTAGAGTCCTTGCCTTGCAGGCACCGGGATCCCATATGTGTACTGGTTTGTATCCTAGCTGCTGCACTTTCCATCTAGCTCCCTGCCTGTGGCTTGGAAAAGCAGTGGAAGATGGCCCAACTCCCTGAGACCCTGCACCCACATGGGGGACCTGGAAGAAGCTCCTGGCTTCGGCTCAGCTCAACTACAGCCATTTCAGCCCCTTGGGGAGTGAACCAGTAGACAGAGATCTTTCTGTATTTCCTTCTTTCTGTATATCTGACTTTCCAAATTTAAAAAAATATATATGTAAATCTTTTTTAAAACAATCACTGTGGAATCTATGGAGAGGGATGACAAGAATAATAAGATCCTTATGCCTCTCTAAAGTCTCAAATAAGAGAAACAGGAATGTTCAACAGGCAATTAAAGGAACTGGCAAGGAAAACTAAAGAAATAAACTTGGGAAGCAATTCATATACTCAAATATAGCAGGTGACATCATCAAGGGAAGAGAAAGGACAGATGTGCTGGGCAGAGGAACTACAATCAGAAGCCTAGGATCAAGTGCTGGCTCCACTAATCACTGCAAGTATGATTATGAGCAAGTGACAACTTCTCTACGACAAAGTTTTCTCATTCATAAAATGGCCACATTGCTACAAGAGTTGAGCAGGTTCTTTCGGTTCTTCATCTCATAGTAATAAACTGAATTACAGCATGGACAAAAAACAGGGGCAAGTGGGCAAAGCAAGTGAAAGCAGATTTTTTTGTCAGATTTTATTTTTATTACAAAGTCAGGTACACAGAGAGGAGAAGAGATAGAGAAGAAGTGGAGGTGACCATATGGGATCCCGGCACATTCAAGGCGACGACCTTAGCCACTAGGCCACGGCGCCAGGCCCGAAAGTAGATTTTATTGAGAAACACAAATTCCTGCTTGCCAAGAGGGATTCTCAAAGGAGGGTCAGCTCGTACAGGGAGTGCATATCAACTGCTTAATTCTTACAATTATGACACAGGGATTGCAGGTTCTGCTTGTGTTTTTCCTGTATCTCTTATCTGGTTAACAGACAGTACCATGTCCACCACTTGGAGATATGAAATACGACAGTTGAGAAATCATGCTGACCTAAGTGAAGCAGGTTAACACCTAACTGATCAGTTACTATTCATTTTTTTACACTTGATCTTAGCCAAAAGGCCGAGAAGCGATTATTCATTTTTTTAAAGGATTTACTCTAATTAAGCTGACTAGCTCCCTTATTTCATGGGTGCCTGGTATGCAATGGCTGCAAACAGCAGCCTCCCTGGTAGTGTATGCAACCTGTTGCTTGTATGGGTTGCCCTCAGGAACTTCGGAGATAGTCCTTTAAAGTGGCCATTCCTGCCTCTGACCTTGTGCTGTTCCTCAACTAGGCTGCAGACAGGCATGCGGGGTGCTTTTGGAAAGCCCCAAGGCACAATTGCCAGGGCTCACATTGGCCAAGTCATCATGTCCAACTGCACCAGGCTGCAGAACAAGGAACAAGTGACAGAGGCCCTACACAGCGCCAAATTCAACTTCCCCGGTCACCAGAAGATCCACAAATCAAAGAAGTGGGGTTTTACTAAATTCAATGTGGATGAATTTGAAGACATGGTGGCTGAGAAGCGGTTCATCCCTGATGGCTGTGGGGTCAAATACATCCTAACCGAGGTCCCTTGGACAAGGGTCAAGCCCTCCATTCATGAGACCTGTGCTGTTCTGTGCTCTTTAATCTGACCAACAATAAACCCTGATTGCTGTTGGGAGAAAAAAAAAGGACTTACTTATTTTTCACTTGGAAGTCAGAATTATTAGAGAAAAACAGAGAAAGAAAGTCCATCAGCTGGTTCACTCCCCAAAGGGTCACAATGGTCAGACCTGGGCCAGTCTGAAGATATGAGCCAGGAGCTTCTTCTGAGCACATCGGTGCAGGGTCCAAGGACTTGAGCTATCCTACATTGCTTTCCCAGAACATAATAGGAATAAGAACCAGAAGTGGAGCAGCCAGGACATAAACCAGGGCCCATACGGAATGCCGGGGCTACAGGCAGAGACTTAACTTGCTATACCACCATGTTGGCTCCAATTGCTATGCATTTAAGAGATGCTGCTTTGTGGGTATTTTAGTATGGTGTTACAGCCTAATTTATGATATAGTTACCTATGGCATTGGACTTACTGTATTTCCTATCAATCTTTTCATTTTCTGGAGTAATATCTTTTGCAGATAGCAATATAAGGAACACCTTGTTTCTTATTTCCACAGGTTCCCTCCTAACTGCCTGTTAACTGTTCTATCTCCTTAAAATATCATTCAAGCACTGGGCTCTTATTATAAAAAGAGCAAAATGAAAACAAAGCCAAATGATTAAATATTATAGTATCAGTGGAAAAAAAGGCTAGCAGGAGCCAGTTTTATAGCACCACAGGTTAAGCTGCCTCCTGTGACACTGGCATCCCACACCAGTGCCAGTATGGCTGCCAGTTATTCCACTTCTGCTACAGCTCTCTGCTAACGTACCTGGGACAGCAGCAGATGGCCAAATACTAGGGGCCCAGAGTTTACACGGGAGATTTGGATGGAGTTTCAGACTGCTGGTTTTGGCCCAGCCATTTTCCATCCATTTTGGTAGTCAACCAACAAATGGAAAATTCTTCTCTCTTTCTCTTCCTCTCCCTCTCCCTCCAGCCCCCCACCTATCTCATCTCCCATCATTCCCCAGCACTCTGCTTTTCCCATAAATTAGTAAACTTTAAAAGAAAGAAAAGGTTAGAAAGGAAGTGTCCTAAGGAAATAAACGAGAGACACAGAAACAGAGGATTCAGCCTGAGCCCTTGACACAACCAAGACTAATGAGGAAACAAGTATATATGCAACTGCAAAATTAGAGACAAAAACCATCTACTTAGGAGAAAAATGTCAAGAAAGATGAGAAGGTCCAAATACTAAGAAATAAATCAAAAGGAGAAGTAATTTCATATACACTTAGCAAGAAACATATATCTGAAAGATTTCTCCACCAAGAAATTCTATCACGATCTGTGCCATCCAGGAAGTACTTGAGAACACATGGATTTATGAATATTCTTAAATGAAAGCTCGAATAGGTATCAATGCATATAATTTTCTTTATCATAATGTAAAGCTCAGAGTAACACAAGAGAATAAAATGAGCCACATGAAAAGTAGGTGATCCTGTAGATTCTAAAGAATACATTGTTGGGGCTGATGCAATAGCTCAATCAGTTACTTCTGCACCTCCAAGCACTGGGATCCCATGTGGGTGCTGGCTCATGTCCCAGCTGCTCTGTTTCCCAGCCCTGTTTGTGGCCTGGGAAAGCAGTAGAAGATGGCCAAAAAACTTGGGACCCTGCACCCATATGGGAGAACTGCAAGAAGCTCCTGGCTTTGGATAGGCTTAGCTCCAGCTGCTGCAGCTGCTTGGGGAGTGAACAGTGGACAGGAGATCTTTCTGTCTCTCCTTCTCCCTGTACATTTGCTTTTCCAATAAATATAAATAAATCTTCAAAGAATATATCCTTTCTAAATGTATATGTTATCTTCAAAATTAATCTGAAAATGTTTCCCATTATAAACTTATGGCAAATACCCCATAAGTCACTGAAGTAACTGCCAAGTATATTTTTAAAAGGTGAAGTTTTTCTAAAAGATAAACTACCACTTCACCCTTATACAACAGCTGACAGCAGAGTAAATAATAAGTAAAAAATACTTTCTAATCGCTACAAGAGACAAACACTCACATGTGGTGCCAAGGTTTCAAGTGGTTTAACCTGCTGTGCCACAATGCTAGCCCCAGAAGGCTTTAATGTATCATTTAGCTAGAGAATAAAGGTAATTTCACTATTATTATAGACACATCACTTGCAACAGTATATCATCCTTATTTATATTAAAAGATATTTTGTTCCTGTATCTGTATGTTACTTAAAAATAAAAGTCACAGAAACCAACAAAAAGGTTATAAAAGGAGAAACCATATAAGGTATTGTGACGGAAACAGAAAAGACTGTTGGTCAGATAAAGCGTTTATGTAGGAGGCTGTGTTTCTGTTTAGTTGAAATACTAGTTCTTTCCTTGCATTCCAAAAGGGATTGCTTCTGTTGGCTGAGCTTGGTTTTCCACTTCCAATGTGACTATCAGGAGCAGGGTAGATCAAATGACATATAAACAGGGTTATGTGGGCAAGTAACAAAACACTGTAACTACCAAAACTTGGAGCACAGATTTAAAAGTTAAATAATCTGCTGGAGAATGCTAACAATGCTTGCCTGTAAGGAAAACACCCCAACTCAGTTCAAGACCTAATCCTTATAAAGCTACACATTTCCTTTTGGGTTAGACTCCAGACCCTATCCTCCTATCCTAAAACTAAAGATTCAACTCAACCAAAAGTCATAAAAGGCTAACAGTGATTTTCTTAGAATAATTTTCTTTCAGCTTACCTAACAGTTTAAATACTCAAAATGCTTGCCTACACTATTTTACAAAGCAATAAATACTATGCTCTGGCCACTCAGAAACTATTTAAATAGCAATATACATTAAACAACGACAGGAGAAACTTCTTGGTGATACCTAACTATTCTAACTACTCTGGGACCAAACTTTATCGAGACTTAAGGTTTATTATGACTGCTGAAGGAATAAAATTTTGAAAAGATTCTGAGGTACCATTATAAACAGTTATCAGAGTACGTCTCCTCCCTAACTAAAAATTTAGGTCACATATTTTTAGAAAGCATGTTCATAACAAAATCTATTCACTGATAGCATCAGTTTAACTTACTAAAAACACACACACACACACACACACACACACACACACAAACAGTAATTGAAAACCTACAACCATATAGAATCTTCAAGTTTTCCACTCTGGAAATATTTCTAGCTTTGTTTTACCAGAAATGTAAACAACTTTCAGACTTTATCAGCACACAAACTTCTAAATTCACATTTGCATACTCTTAGATTAGGACAAACAGGTGGTCACTAGTGTCCACATGGCACTCCCAGGGGAGGTAAAGGAACAGGTCCACAAAATGCGTATCAAGTTCTGTCAAAGGCTACATAAGAAAATAGACCCACTCTATGTAAACAGTCATTTCTCATTTAAACTCAGTTCACCTGCTTACCTCCCATGGTGAATTGGCAAGTGTTTACGATGGATACCATGACTTCCTTCCACAAAAGCATTGGGAGGCTTATGGTACACAGAGGCCAAAGAACCAATGTGGCAGATTAGCTCATCCAGCAGAGTTGGCTCAATAAGGTCTGTCTCCTCAGAGATCAATGGTTTTTCAGACAAGACCACTTCTTTGGCTGTAACAGGGTCAGTTGAAAGAAGACGCCAATAAATATAGCCCCGGTCTCGAAGGTCAGGATTATCAGAATCCTAACAAAAAGACAAAAGCAAGAAGATTTGGATGGATCTGTTCTCCATGCAGAAATTTAAAGATTTATTTTTATTATTTTTTCATTGGAAAGGCAGATATACAGAGAGGAGAGACAGAGAGGAAGATCTTCCGTCCGATGATTCACTCCCCAAGTGAGCGCAACGGGCCGATACTATGCCGATCCGAAGCCAGGAGCCTCTTCCGGGTCTCCCACGCGGGTGCAGGTTCCCAAAGCTTTGGGCCGTCCTCTGCTGCTTTCCCAGGCCACAGGCAGGGAGCTGGAAGGGAAGCGGGGCTGCCGGGATTAGAACCGGCGCCCATATGGGATCCCGGGCGGCAAGGTGAGGACCTTTAACCACTTGCGCCACCGCGCCGGGCCCTCCATGCAGAAATTTAAACTACCAAACTCATTATCAAGGCAATACTGTAGTGATTTATGAAAACTGGCATACTAAGGTATCTCATTTAGATTCAATATGGTTTCAATAGTTATTATCCTGTAATCCCTAACATTTCAAAGAATCTAAATTTTTTAAAGAGACTTGTTTTTACTGGAAAGGCAGATTTACAGAAAGACAAAGATTTTCCATTTGCTGCTTCACCCCTCAAATGTCTGGAGCTGAGATGATCCAAAGCCAGGAACCAGGAGCTTCTTCTAGGCCTCCAAATGGGTACAGCGTTCCAAAGATGTTGACCATCCTCTGTTGCTTTGCCAGGCCATAAAGAAGGAGCTGGATCAGAAGTGCAGTAGGTGGGACATGAGCGAGCATCCATACAGGGATACTGACACTCATAGGTGGAGAATTAACCATCACACCAACCCCAAAAGAATTTAAATTGAGATGAGTTAGTTTAATCTAGTAAAAGTTAACTAAGATGGCCTTGGGATATAAAAATGTTTCTCTTTAACTTCTATAAATATGAAGAATATTCATAAGTTAAAAATAAATTGAAAAAATAATAAACAATGGAGATGGAGACAATGTTGACAACTTGTGGAAATAGAGGACATGTTCAAAAAACTTGCTTGAGTATTTAGAGGTGAGTGAGAGAAAACAAAGCCAAAATCCTCACCAGAAATGTAGACGGGACATGAGCTGCTGGAATGTTGTATGATCACGTAAGAGTTTAAAAGCATTTTGCACTGTTTTCAGTTTATCTTCAAAGAGATACAAATTCTCCAAGGGTTGCTAATAGAGGGTCTGCTAAATTCAGCAGAGAATATGAAATAACAACTGCCTTGCCAGTTATGGACATTGCTAAGTACCAGGCATCTTTCCTTGTAAGAGTCTCAAAGAACTCTTACAAAAACATGTAAAATCAATAATAGCAAATATGAAAATTCAGAACTAGGCACAGTCCTGTGATAAGGTTTTGAATTTTGATAGCATATAAAGGGATGAAAAAAATATAAATGATACATGAGTATCTGAACTAGATTTCATGTGCAGATACACATCTTAACTCTGTGAGTATGGTAAAGTCAGCATGTTCCAGAATTTAATTAAGAATATTATTAAGTCATGATGAACCAACAATCATTACACTAGTTACACTACAAGAATTTTGCTTTCTTGTAGATCTAAAATAGTGACCTGCTCTTTAAGGCCAGGCGTCACATTCCTAAAATCAGAATCTATCTGAACCTCTTTTCTTCTAACTAAAAATAACATGTAGTTCCAAGAAAGGCCAAAAATATCAAATAATTCCAGGGAGCAGCTTGAGTGCTTTAAAAATGATCTCCCAAGAAAAAGGCAACCACTACATAAGGTAGCACCATTTGAAACCTTGTTGAGGCATCTACCATCTCCACAGGATACTTCCATTTGAAAGGTAAAGCAAAGTCACCCAGGATAATGTGCTATCAAACTCAATGTCATTTTCATATAAGTACATCCCTGAAAAACTGTAAAGAATCTAAGTTCAGTTTTCATGAATTATTATAAAAGCTGGAGCCATTCAAATAGTTTCACTTATTTATTTCGTTTGGGATGCAGAGCTTCCCCAAATGCCCCCATGGCCAAAGCTCAGAGTCAGGACCTCAAGAGGAATCCAGGTAAGTGGAAGAAACCTGAATACTTGAGCCATCAAGACTGCCTCCCAAGATATACATCAGTAGGAAGTTGGACTCAGGAGCCAAGATAGCAATCAGGTTGAACCACCAGCCAATCCATTTGAAAGCCATACAACCAACTACAAATCTGTGGCAATTTTAAAAATATTTGTTTCTTTACTTCAAAGGCAGATACACAGGACTGAATAAGCCATTGCCTGTGGCGTGGACTTTATACATGGATGTCAGTTTCTCACTGCTTCATTCCAATCCAGCTCCCTGCCTATGGTCTGGGAAAGCAGTGGAAGATGGACAAAGCACTTGGGTCCTTGCACCCATGTGGAAGACTCAGAAGAACCTCCTGGATACAGGCTTTGGAACCAGTCCAACTCCAGCCATTGTGTCCATTAGGGGAGTGAACTAGCAGATGAAAAATCTGTCTTCTCTCTTTAACTCTCCCTTTCAAGATACACACAAAATAAAAGGCAGAGATTCTCAACATCAAATGGTGTCTTCAGTGCAGTGCCAATGCCTGCCCCAAGGGATAGCATTTTCAGAATTTTAACAGGAACTAAAGGAAACATCTTGGGGCAGGCATTGTGATTGAACTGCTGACTACAATGTCAGCATCCCATATGATGAGCACTGTTTTGAGTCCTGGTTGCTCTGCTTCCAATCCAGCTCCTGTCTGATATGCCTTATACCTTAAACAAACAAACAAACAAACAAAAACCTACATTTCTTTCCATTATAACTTCCCCAAGTGGGGGTGGATATTTAGTGTGGCAATTAAGATACTGGTTGGGGATGCCTGCATACCATGTCTGGGTGCCTAAGGTAGAACTGCAGCACAGATTCCAAATCCAGTTTCCTGCTAATGTGCACCCTTGGAAGCTGCAACTGACTGTTTAAGTAGTTGAGTTTTCACGACCCATGTGAGAGATCAGAACTGAGCTTCTAGGTCCCAGATATTTGGAAAAAAAAAACCAGAATGGGAAGTTTATCTCCATCTCTCAAATAAACTTCCTCATATGAACCCAAGAATTTAAACATTCTGTATTTACTCATGCTTTTTCCAGATTTCTTACCTGTGTTGCCAAACTCAAAACCTGCTGGACCAGCTCTTGTGTTTCTGATGGTTTCTTAAGAAACAGTTTCACTATCGCAGTAAGCAGAGTGAGCTGTACCTAAAGAGAGAAAATTTGATAAATTAAAATATGCTTTTAGTCCTTGACATCATCTCCAAAGCAGAATTTTCCCTACTATAAATCACCAAGAAGTCTTTCTAATTTTGGTTAAGAAGCAAAAAGTTGAAACAGCCCATTCAACAACAGTAGTCAACGATATTCATCTCAAATGCAAGGGCGTTCAACTGCAAACTCACTAGCCTCCCCTCTGCAAATCATACTGTGGGCAGCAAAAACTGCTTGTCTACTTTTGAGCCAGATAATTACTTGCATTTCCTAAGAAGCACGTTAACTGGGGGGTTGGCACTGCAGATTAACCAGTCAGTTGGGATGCCCTCATACCAGAATTTTCTGAGAGCCAATTCAAATCCTGACTATTTCACTTCTGATCTAGCTCCCTATTTAGCAGGCCTGGGAGGACAAACATAATGACTAAGCACTTCAGTCCCTGTCAACCACATGTGACACCTGGCTTTGGCTTTGCCCATCTCCAGCTGTTGGCAGACATTCAGGAAGTGAACCAATGAACAGAAGACCCCCTCTGACTTTGCCTTTAAAACAAATAAATAAATCCTTAAGAAAACAAAAACAAACAAACAAAAATCATGCTAACAAACTGATGGCCATAAAACTGACTCCTGGCTAACTCTTACTTGCTACTTTATGAAAGCTACAATTTTGAGGCAATTACAGAATCATCTGTCATACTAGAGCAACAGCTAAGACAGCACAATTATGCCAGATCACAGCTACTGAATCACAAAATTACTAGTTTATATATGTACTTCTTGTTTTAGGTCTCTTAAAATTACTACAGTGGATCATATACACGAGCTTCTATTTGCTGTGAGTATAAATGCCCAGCAGCTAACTAATGTGTCTGCTCTCCCGGGCTCGTGGCTGCTGCTGTGGCAGGAGTGAGCGATGGAAGGCGGGAAGAAGTCTAACCACTCACTGAGAATCTCGTCAAACCTCATTGCAGTTCCAGGCAAAAATCCCTGCTGCTCTGAGCCAGTCACTACTAACAGACACGTGACATCATCTCTAGGTGACAGAAAATAAGAAAAGTGGTAACTTAGGTTGTAAATCAGTGACTCTTTTTTTTCCTAAAGATTTGCTTTATTTTTATTGGAAAGTCAGATATACAGAGTAGAGTTTGTTTTTGTTTTTGTTTTCTTAAGGATTTATAGAAATACAGAGAGAGGAAGATCTTCTGTCCATCAATTCACTCCCCAAACAGCCGAAATGGCCAGAGCTGCGCTGATCCAAAGCCAAGAGCCAGGAGCCTCTTCTGGGTCTACCACACAGGTGAGGGGCCCAAGGCTTTGGACCATTCTCAACTGCTTTCCTAGGCCACAAGCAGGGAACTGGATGGAAAGTAGGGTTGCTGGGATTAGAACTGGTGCCCATATGGGATCCCAGCACATTCAAGGCAAGAGCTTTGGCTGCTAGGTTACTGCGTCAGGCCCATAAACCAGTGATTCTAAAAGTGTGATGCTTGACCAAGACCTTTTCATTGTAGACACTTGGGCTCATCTCAGTCTTGAGTCCACACATGAGTAGATGACAGAGGTCTCTGCACTAGCCTCTCCAACCAGCATGTAGGGGGGGTTAAGTTTCACAACCAGTGATGTAAATGTTACATCAGAAATCAATATACAGGGGCTAGTGCTGTGGCATAGTACACTAAGCCTCTAACCGTGCGTGTGTGGGAGGGCAGGGATGCTGGCGTCCCACATGGATGCTAATTGGAGTCCTAGCTGCTCCACCTCTGATCCAGCTACCTACTTATGACTTGGGAAAGAAGCAGTGAATAGACCAAGTCTGAGCCCCTGTACACACATGGGAGACCAGAAGGAAGCTCTTGGCTACTGGCTTTGGATCAGCTCAGCTCTGGCCATGACAAACATTTGGGGAGTGAAATCAGCAGATGGAGGATATTTCTCTCTCTCTAATTCTGCCTCTGAAATAAAAATAAACCTTATAAAAAAGAAATCAGTATACAACTCAAAAGGATCATCCTTTTTGGACAAAAATTAACATGCTACAGACAAACATACCTAATCTGAAATGCTCTAATTCCAAAACCTTTAAAGATCTGACAATGGAAAATTCCACACCTATCTTACATAATGGATTGCAGTCAGAATGCATATACACTAAAAAACTGTATAAAATAAGCTATGCGCATAAGGTATGTGTGAGATATAAATAAGAATCATGCTTAGCTTTGGGATTCAGCTTCAAGACAAATATCTACTCATATACAAAGAACTATTTCAAAATTTGAAAAACTCAAAATCTGAATCATTTCAAGGATGTGGGACAAAGGACACTCAACATGGGTGTACAAATTAATATAAACAGACAAGAAAGCTTTAGTTTCAGGGCTGATACAATGACAACTGGCTAATCCTCCCCTTTCTAGCACCAGGATCCTATAAGACACCAGTTCTTGTCCTGGCTGCTCAGCTTCCCATCCAAGCCTCTGTTTATGGCCTGGGAAGGCAGTGTAAGATGGCCCAAAGCCTTGGGAATCTGTACCTGTGTGGGAGACTGAGAAGAAGCTCCTAGCTTCGTATTGGCTCAACTCTGGCCACTGAAGCCATTTGTGGAGTGAACTAATAGACGAAAGATCTTTCTATTTCTGCCTCTTTTTCTCTCTGGTAAATTTGCCTTTCCAACAAAAATAAATAAATATTAAATAAATAAATAAATATAAGGAAAGAAAAGAAAAAAGAAAAGGAATCTTTACTTTCTCAGAGCTCTTACCAAAGAGGTAAGGCATGGGGCAGCTGGAAACTTACCTGAGTGCTCTCATCGTGAAAACCCTCGAGGAAGCTCTCCAGCAACTCATCTGCATTGTCAATCCTTTCAGCATACTCGCCTACGATCCAAATCATGGCTGCTCGAGCATCTGGCTCATCCAGGGAGTCCAAGTTCTCACACAGGGTGGCAATGATGCTTTCATACCTGACCCGGCAGGAGGGCAAAAGTTAACAGACTACAGTTAACATGGTTAAAAGCACACCACCGACAGGGGACCCTAAACCAAAGAACCAAACTGGGAAAGCTTTGCTACAAAAAGAATATATAAATATTAGGTCAGAATATTAAGCTCCTGCTTCCTGGCTTCTGATCAGCTCAATTCTGGCCATTACAGATATTTAGGGAGTGAATTAGTGAATGGATGATCCTTTTCTGTCTCTCCTTCTCTCTGTAAATCTGCCTTTCCAATAAAAAGTCTTTAAAAATTACCTGTAAAGATTAATCATCAGTTTCAGGAAATCTATCTCTATAATTGTTTCTTTGTGTTTTATTATTTTTTTTAAAGTTTGCTATCTCTATAATTATAAGGCAAAATAACATTAAAGATACTTTAAGGCCTGCTTTTATTACACTGCTGCAGACTCACGGTTGCTTTCACAAACAAATTTAGAAGTTGGCATCTGACTCAGCCACTTGAGACACTATGACATAGCAGAGTACCTGAGTTTGAGTCCCAGCTTCATTCAGTTCTACCAGCTTCCTGCTAACACACCCTGCAAGGCAACAGGTGACGGCTTCAGTAGTTCAGTTCATGAAATCCACACGGGAGACCTGTTTTACATTCCCAGGTCCTGGATTTGGTCTATTTTTAATTAATTAATTTTTATTGATTTGAAAGGCAGAACTAGAGAGAGAGAAAGACCTAGCATCTGCTGATTCATTCTCTAAATGCCGACAACAAGCAAGACTAGGCCAAGTCAAAGCCAGGAGCCAGGAATATTACCCAGTCTCTCCTATGGATGACAGGGAAATATATGAGCTATTAGGGTACAAACTGGCAGAATGCTGGAAGTATTAGGGGAGACAAGACTGGACCTCAGGCACGTTAACACCAGATGCAGGTTTCCCAAGTTGCAACTACCCTGCTGTGCTGTAACAGCCTCCCCTAGGTATTCTATTAAAAGGACTTCACTATCAAAGAGGAGGTACAGTGCAAGTTAGGCAGGTTCTAGGGATATGATGTAGTTGGCATGAGCGAGTTCCAATTGTCAGTTCTGTTCTGAATTCTAGCTACTTGCCAATACACATCTACCTGAGAAGCAGCAAGTGATGGCTCCAGTGCCTGAGTCCCTGCCACACATTTGGGAGACCCGGATTGAGATCCAGCCCTGCTCCAACCTCAGATGTTCTAGGAACTTGGTATTGGGATCTCTCTCGGTTTTACAACTAAATTTACAATAAAAATGCAATAAAAGTATATGTTAAAAAAATAATCTAGCTATGTTAACCTTAATATGTGCCAATAAACCATGTCTATTCAGGCAGGCTGTCATTTCTTCTGAAGTAATAAAATTAAGCAAAAATTCAAGTCTTAGTTCTTGTCCTAACAACTATATTCCTGATTTATGATATAATATCCTATTATGACAAGTTACACTAAAAAAGATATATATATTTTTAAAAGACTTATTTATTTTTATTGGAAAGGCAGATCTACATAGAGAAGAAACAGAAAAATCTTGCCACCCGCTGATTCACTCCCCAAATGGCTACAATGACTGGAACTGAACCAATCAGAAGCCAGGAGCATCTTGAAGTTCTCCCATGCAGGTGCAAGTACCAAGGCTTTGGGCCATCCTCGATGCTTTCCCCAGGCCACAAGCAAGAAGCTGGATGGGAAGTGGAACAGCTGGGACACAAACCAGTGCCAATGTAGGAATCCTGGCGTGTGCAAGCCAAGGATTTAGTCACTAGGCTATTGTGCTGGGCTCAAAAGGATACTTCCTAACTAGTCAATTTCAAAGCAAACTTCACTTAACCTCTTCCTGTTTGAGGAAAAGGGGTTGGTATTTGGACGTACTTGTTGGGGTATTTGCGGAAGATGTCCCTGATGACAACAATCGCTTCTTGCACCACATAATTTACCTTGGTCTGGATTAAATCAAGCAATGTGCTTACACAACGCTCTGCTGATTGCTGGAAGAGGAACATAAAAAATAAGTCAGATAATCTATCCAGTAGCACTACTTCAACATAAAGAACCTCTGAAACACACACATGCATTAGTTAAAGAAAACAGAGGACCTTAATTTGATGCTGGGTTATTTTGCATAAATCTACGTAAGTTTTAAATATACCTCAAATTTTGGTCATTACAAAATTACAAGAGATGAATCAATTCAATCTCTTGGGGGAAAAAGTTTCTGGGATATTCAAACAACAATGACAACAAAGAATAAGCCAAGATGAAGAAGAAAGAGTAAGAATTCAAAATTAAGCCAAAGCAGGATATCTTTAACCAGAGTTCATGGGTGAGTAGACAGCAGAGGATGTCTTCACACCTCTCAAAATGAAATTGCCAAATCATGTACAAGCATATAGGAATATCTTCTAAGGAGAAGGCCCAGAGCTTTCATTTTGTTTTCCACAGCTATCCATGACCTTAAAAATCTCTTCCTCTCTCTTCTTGCAAACGAAAAAATTAAACATAAAAACCTCTAAGAACTTCTAGACAATTTACCGTCTTCTGAGCTATGTAAATTAAATTTTTTTCCAGCTTTAAATTATAAATTTTCATGGTTTACAACTAACCCATACAATGGCATATAAATTATTAATCTTTTATTACTGAGAATAAGAGAGAATACAGTAACAAATCAAACGCACTGGTGTCAGCGCTGTGGACAGTAGTCTATGTCTCCTGCAGCGCAGCGCCAGCATCCCATATGGGAGCCTAATCTAGTTCCGGCTGCTCCACTTCCAATTCAGCCTGCTGTTGATGGCCTCGGGAAGCAGCAGAGTATGTTCCAAGGCTTTGGGCTGCTGCACCCTGGAAGAAGCTCTAGGCTCCAGGTTTCAGCCTGCTCCATTCCATGAAGATGAGGCCATTTGGGGAGTGAACCAGTGGGTGGAATGCCTTTCTTCCTCAAACTCTGCCTGACAAACAGATTTTATACAGAATGCACTAATCATAAAGTCAAATTCAAACTGCAGAAATAAAACAAAAAACTACAAATTGGTGTCTTCAGAGAATAAAGAAGCCAGTACAACCCACTTCCCCTCAAAAGGAATGTTATGAAAAAAGTGCCAGTAACAAAAAGTAGCAATCAGGTGAGGCCGTATGAAATGAGGGGTGTGGGGGTGTGTGGCAAGGGGCAGAGCCCACTAAGGTAATCATTCAGACTGCAGCAATAAACAGAGAGTAGAAAAGGATTTAAAGCAAAAGACTTATAGGTTTTAATGTTACACTTCAAGAGCCAGAACAACACTCACAATCCAAGGGAAGGAAGCAATTATAGCAGCTCCAAAACATTCAAACGACTCTACATGAAAATACAGTCACTTCATATAGTCTTGGTACTATGTTTCCACAAAGTCATAGTATGTGTAAGCTTTGCAAGACAATATGGACTATACAAAGGTAATATATACCAATATAGCTGACACAGCAGCAAATCTCATGATAAAACTACCCTGGGACACAAGAGAGAAATGTGAATGGCATAGTATATGAACTAACCTTTTTGTACAACAAAGTTAATAGAAAAAGCCTGTAATTTGTAAAATAATAAATAATATCACTTAAGAAATATGGAAGTAATCTAAAGAATAACACAAAAATAGAATGAAAATTATATCTCCAAGGGAAAGGAAAGAGGTGGGGAAGAGTCGATCAAGCACAACATTTTTTTCATTAAAAATTCTTTAAGATCTTAACTTTCTAAAAATTATTGAGAAACTTTATTAGAGAAAGGCATCAGGAAAGCACCCAGAGAGCCACGAAGTGCTCCCAGCCGCTATTTAACACTCACTTCCACCTTGATGGCACACCGCCCGATGGCCCGCACAGCTTTTCGGACAAAGTCAACATCCACCTCGGTGGCATACTCTTTCAGTTCTGCCAGAACCTGGCAAAATCCAGGAAACAGAAAATCATTATGGATTCTCAGACAACAACCTTGTGGCCTCACTTCTTCTGGAGATTACACCTTAAGATCTAAGTCATGGTAAAACCAAGCGCACTTAAAAGTCTGACCTGAGCAATATTGGCTTGGGATGCCAAACGAATCATGATGTCCAGCTTCTCTAGTTTAACATAGATGGGATCATTGTATTTCACAAAAAAGACTTTGATTTCTTGCTTCAAGATTTCAGGCCTGTGGTATACAGAAACAGAAAGGAAGGTGAAGGCTTATGGTGAGATTCTTCTGAGTTATATTATCTAATTGGTGCTGCCCTGTCCTCTCCCTACTCCAGAAGAAAATACTATATCCTTCAATTCTCATCAGTTTTACTTAAAATCAGTTTTTCCCTTATTAGACATCAGAAAATACGTTGTCTGACTGTGTCACAGGCAAGTTCTAAAACTTGAGCATGCGGCCAATACTGTGGCATAGCAGGTAAAGTTGCTGCAGAAGCATCAGCATTCCATGTGAATGCCAGTTTACACCCCAACTGCTCTACTGCAGATTCAGCTCCTTGCTTGTGGCCTGGGTAAGCAGTAGAGGATGGGCCAAAGCCTTGGGACCCTGCACATCGGATCGACAACCAGAAGCACTGAGTGGTCCGCAGAAACAAAGCAGTAAACTTCCTTCGGAACTAGGGGGAGGAGCTTTCTCTGGTTCTTGCCTGGTTCCGACTTTGGGTCCCCACCCTCTCTCGTAATGACCATCAGGATCGCTCCAGAAACCCCCAAAACAAACTAACGAATAAACAAATAAACAAACACAAAAAAACCTCTAGAATAGAGAATAACAAGGAAAGCTTAGAAACAGGAAACGGGCAGTGAGGATGCACTTATAACTCACTGGGTGGGACACAAAGATTAGTTACTCCTCACTGGGGTATTGAAGATTTCTCTGCATACCCCTCCTAAAACTGTTCACCTAAACTGTTGACATATGTCTTGTTATAGAATTAGACTACCTGAAAAACAGCCAGGTTCTGCAAAATCATGCTTCAATGCTATGAACTGCTAAATACTAAAATTAAAATAGACATGAGACAGCTGAATAGTAATCTATAGCCATTTTAAGGTGTATAGAACCCAGTTGTATATAAATAATATATAATTGTATATGTCAATGTAGAAGTCATAGGATGTGGTTCAGAACTTGCACTCTTTTTTTCTCTCTTTCTCTTTTAAAATGCTGGTTACACAATACCATGTCAACTTATTCCATTACGTTATAAATTGTTACTGATGTAATGTCAGAGTTTTTAATTGATTGGGATGATACTCTGTCGACTCTACCTTCAGACCAGAGACAATCTCCCCAAGAAACTGTTGAACTTATCTGGATAATATGATGCTGGACTCTATGCTTTGTAGATGCTTGCAAGGAAAGAATCTCAAGTGAATCTGAACTGTAGTAATGCAACAAGAATCCACCATGGGGGGGGGGGCGGGTTTTGGGGAGGGAAGAGGGGAATCCCAGAGCCTAGAAAACTGTGTCACATAATGCAATGTAATCAATAAAAAATAAATTAAAAAAAAAGCAAAGCCTTGGGACCCTGCACCCACATGGGAGACCCGGAGGAAGTTCCTGACTCCTGGCTTCAGATCAGCTTAGCTCTGGCTGTTGGAGCCACTTGCAGAGCACACCAGTAGATGGAAGATCTTACTCTCTGTCTCTCCTTCACTCTGTAAATTTGCCTCTCCAATTAAACAAACAAACAAACAAATTGTCAAGTGTCTAGGAAAGCAGACCAAGATGGCCTAGGTCCTTGGCCCCTGCACCCACATTGGAGACCCAGAAGTTCCTGGCAGGACTTCAGACTGGTCCAATTCTGGCTGTGGTAGCCACTTGGGGAGTAAACCAGCAAATAGGATAGCTTTCTCTCTGTAAATAATTTTAAAACTAAAAATAAATAAACCAGTAAATAAACTGCAGCCTGAACTGTATAATGAAGGCAATAGGAGACGTATAAGGGGGTATATTGGCTCCTTCAGAAAACAAACTGGGCCTAAGAGTGAGACATGAAGCAACCATTTACTGTAGGAACACAATGACATCAACAGCTAACCTACAGATCCTAGGAAAGTTTATCTGACACATGCATCTTCATGCACTAAAAAGAGATTCAACACTGGTTGAGTCACATGATACTAGTACCAAGTTTAGTTCAAAGTTAGAAACATTCTCATCAGCACTTTACTATTTTCCAACCTTTTCTGGACAATGAGGTTGATGTTTCTCAAGGCGACATACTGCACTTCTGGCTCTCCAGACAGTAAAGTGACAAGTGGAGGAGCTAATTTCTTCAGCAGCATATTGTAGTAGTCAGAGTCCTTGGGTAATAACTCTAGAAATTTCATAAGGACTTTTACCGCTGAAAGCACCACAGCTGAGTTGGCATGGGACAGCCGAGGAGTTACCCGCTCACAAATGCTGAAGGCAGAAAAGGAAAATTAGTGCCTTTAATTATCATTTCTTTGCTCAATTCACTCATAAGGTAATGTGTCAGAGTTCCATCACCCAAGTATCAAGAAATTAAAGAATTAGTGAGAAAAGTCAATGTTCCATGCTTAGGTAAAATTAGGATCTAACAGTGCAGATGCCTCATTCCCAACAAATCCAGACAGAGCAAGAACCTCAGAGAACCAGCAATAGGAATATTCAAGCTGTAAAGAAACCAGCACTATCCAAAACACTTGAGCTCACACCATTTACCTTCTTGTTTTACAGTCCTCTTTGTCTCCCCATTATATGTTGGGGCTCCCTGCCTTATAGCCCACTTCTACTCAACCTATAGGAAGTCAAAGTAGGCATTCTGAGAGTTATTTCATAGTGAGAGATTATCAACCCACTAGTGACAGAAGGCTTCACAGTAGGATACAGAAGAAAGTGGACTGGCAAAGAAAACTGCCCAACCTCCTGCTTTCATGATAATATAGCAATCTCAGAAATGGGCTGGTTTTTAAACACCAATGCAAGATCTCACACTTATTCTGAATCTCCTAACCCCTGCCACCTATGCTTAGATGCCTCACAACATCTTGGAATAGTTAATTATTACAAGTGTTCTTCACAACTTAAGCTCATTTTGACAGCATTTTGGCAACATAACTGTGTTTCCTTTCCTGTATCTACTCAGTTGATTTCTGGTTTCCTTCAGATATTTATGTAAACATCACCTTCTCAGCAAGGCCTTCCCCGATTATTCATCTGTAAAAATAAAATCCCTGGGGCAGGCATTTGGTACAGTAGTTAACATGCCACTTGAGATGCCCATACATTTGTCAGAGTCCTAGCTCCTCTACTTTTGATCCAGCTTGCCGCTAACGTGCACTCTGGGAACATATAACAGCTCAATTGGATCCCTGCCACCCATACGGGACACCTGGACTGAGTTCCAGGCTCCTGGCTTTAGCCTTTCCCAACCTTGGCTGGATGTGGGCATTTGGGGGGTGACCTAAGAGATGGAAGATCTTTCAGTCATTCAAATAAAAAATGAAGATTAATAGCAGGCATGTGAGACTCCTGCAGCCCAATTCACAGAGCCAAGTTAGAGTCCTGACTACTCCATTTCCAGCATGGCCTCCTACTACTGCGCATCCTGGGAGGCAGCAGATGAACGGTAAAGCACTTGGGTCCCAGCCACCCACACAGGAAACCCAGATGGACTTCTAGGCTCCTAACATTGGCCTGCCCTATCTGTAGCTACTGTGGGCATTTGGGGATTGAATCAACAGATAAAAGATCCATCACTCTGCCTTTCAAATAAATGAAACTATTTCAGAAAAAAAAAAAAAAGAAAATACAAGTTTTCAAAAAAGGAATACCTCATTCTCAAATGCTTAGCATTGCTTCAATTGCTTTGCTATTTCATCTTTCTTCTTAGCATTGATCACCACCTGACATTTCATATACTGCATCAGATATACATAATACACATACTTCTACCCTCACCCTCCATCACAGTACGTGCTCCCGGAGGGTCATGATTTTTATCTGCTCATTGCTGTACCCTCAGGGCCTACACAGTGCCTGGCACACAGCATGGGCTTAATTAACATTTGCTGAGTGAATGAATGTGATGTCAATGACCAACCCAAAATAAAATTATACAAAGTTCTTTCCAGAGTATATTTACACTTTGAATAAATGGAAAGAAACTCTCAGGGTGAGCTTTAGCTAAGTCCAGAGGGAATCGTTTCCCAGACAAGTGAAGAGCACTTACATTCCAGGAGCCTGGAAATCAGCTTCAGCCAGGAAGGAAGGTTCTTATCTACCATAATTAAAATATGTCAACTTTAATGAAGATCCAACATTTTTACAAACTACTTTGCCCAATAAAAAACTGGTGGTGAATCCCAATTTTACAACTGAAGTGTGTATAGCTGTAGATGATATTTAGTGTCAATTTCTGATAGTGAAAGTTCGCATGGCTGAGGTAGTAGAGGGCAGAACAGAACAAGGTAGATGTGTCTGCCAAATCTTCTCCAATTCAGATTGATATCATTTCTACACACAGGGAAAGGTAACAAATATTTTTCTGATTTTTTCATACCTTTTTTTAGTACTGAATTATAGGTGGCATTCCACTCAGCAACCAGAATGAAGTCACTTACTATGCATCTAACAGAATGAAAGCTCTGTATATACAGAACTATTGAATAGCCTTTGTTTGTCACACACCCAGACACTGGGAGACATGAGACAATGATGAGGGATATATCAGCTGAGGTAATTACATTGTTCAAATAGTAAATTAAAAGTATCCTTCTTAGGAACCGTTGTTCTGGCCTGATATACTCTAGCATCTAAAATGTTCCTAAATCCAATGAGAAAATACCCTGGAGATAGCAATTTCTACCCTACAAGACACTGACCTTCTTCAACCTAACAGACTCTGACTTTAACAGCAGAATAGTAGAAATTATTGAATTAGGCAAGACTACAAGACACCGCACAGGAAACAGACTGACCTCTGAGCCTCCCGGTCATCTTTGGGGTTGTAATTAGACAGGCAGTCCAAGATGAAGATCTGGCCCCATTCGGTGCACTCATTCAGGGCTGTCAGGAGTTTATTAATGTTCTGAGGGTTCAGATCCAGTAAGTTGCTGTTTGGGTGAGACTCACTGATTTCAGATAAAGCTGCTACAGCATTAGCCACCACCTGGGAAAGACATGTATAAAAACTGGATTTACTACGACAGTACAACTACAAACACCGAATCAACCTTCTGCAGGTCACTTCACAGATCTCAACTCAGTCATTCCTGAACATTTTACTGAGTCCAACAGAAACAAAACTGTTTTCAAAACATGTTTTAAAACTTCAATGATGACATATACGGTATCCTAGCAGTCAGGCAACTAAGAATTATAACAAGTAATATATTTACAAAGTCATGCCAATTTGGTGTTAAAATATGCATTATCATTTTAATAATACTTGATAGCAATATCAAGTCAACACAAAAACTATAAATATGATTAAATTCGTAGGTCCATGCTATGCCATAGTGGGTAAAGTTGCTACCTGTAGTGCCTGCATCCTCTAAAGACCACAGTTTGAGTCCTGGCTTGCGCCACTTGTGATTCCAGGCACAAAATAGTGAAGGATGGCCTAAGCCCTTGGACACCTGTAGCTACATGGAAGACCCAGAAGTTCCTAGCTTTGGACTAGCCAAGCCTCAAATGTTGCAGCCATTTGGGGAGTGAACCACTGGATTGAAAATTTGTTTCTCCCTCTCTTTTTCTCTGTTTAACTCTGTCTCCTAAACAAACAAACAAACAAACAAACCTTTTAACAAATGGTTAAGTTTAAATAAGAAAGACATATATTAATCAGCAGAGAAAAAAATCTGACTTAAATAATTTTATAGGTGTGTAGATGCTGGAGGAACATTGGACACTATCATTTATATTATATGTCTTAGAGCAAGAATATGTAGGCTTGAGATCTGAGCTTACTAGTCTACAGTGTCCAGAGCACATATAATCAGAGAATATGTAATTCAGTTTCCTCATCTGGAAATGGGCTTATTCAATTCACTCACAGGTTAGTTTTAGTTTGAAGGCAAAAAATGAGGTGGCATGTGTGTAAGTGCTTTCTAAAAAGTCTTATGAAAATTTCAGGTAAGTTATATTACCATAATTCATTAAGTATGTAAGTTGCACAGTGGTTCACATTAACGTCTTTTGAAACTGGCTATGCCTTTTGCAATCAAATGGTCTGTAAGTTTAACAGGAAGCGTTTTCCCCAGTATAAAGAATAGTATAACACATCTTATAATCATTGACATTGTAGACTCAACTAAATAATTTATTTTAAAAATACCCTTTTCTCAGAGAGTATATAAATGAAAAACCACTATTTCAGACAATAAAGCACACTTGTACCCTGCTTCACAGATCTAGGAATCCATGTAGTTGCAAGAGGAAAAGCCGACACCCTGTCAAATTAGATTACTTCTAACATAACGAATCTACAACCAATAACACTTTCATTTGAAAACTGAAGAATACAAAAAAACACTACAGTACAGCCCCATAAAAATGAATTCAAAATTATGTTTTTGTTTGTTTAATTGGAAAGTCAGATATATAGAGAGGAAGATCTTCCATCCAATGATTCATTCCCTAAGTGGCCAAAACAGCCAGAGTTGAGCCAATCCAAAGCCAGGAGTTAGGAACTTCCGCCGAAGTCTCCCAAGTGGTGCAGGGTCCCAAGGCTTTGGCCTGTTCTTGACTGCTTTCCCAGGCCACAAGCAGGGAGCTGGACAGGAAGTGGGGCTGCCAGGATTAGGACCAGTGTTCATATGGGATCTTGGCATGTTCAAGGTGAGGACTTTAGCCATGAGGCCATTGCGTCAAGGCCACTACGCCAGGACCCGGATGCTGCACATTTCACAAGAATCTTTCATGTTTAACTTCCTGTTTCCTTACTATCAGCAAGCAAGGAATTTAATTCAAAGGCCCAGGGAAGAAAAAAGTTCTTTCCACACACATCAGAGGCAGGCAATCAGATTTCCTACATGTAACATGTTTCAATGAAATCACAGTATACAAGATTACAAGAAAGACCCAAATGTCTGGCTAATTTATTGCCAACACATGACCAATCTTGGTTACCAGTTGTCCACAGTAATCTCCAACCATAATTTTGCACTTCTATCAGTCAAACTCTTAATACATAAAAAAAGCTATAGTAAGGTCTGATAACAGGATGCAAAAAAAAAAAAAAATGAGATATGGGAAAATTAAACAGGACGATGAAGAAGACAGAGAGAACAGAATGCTCAACAGATGAGCTCCAAGAATTCTTCTGCTATCTTCATAAGCAACTGGAAATTAAACCAAGTGCATAATGTAGCTAATAAGTTCTGGTTTTTAAAATAGGCAATTTCCACTTACCATTACATTAAAACAGAAAAGGAAATAGAGTGGATTAAGTCTAATTAAGACATGCAGAAAGATCAGATCCACAGAAGACGTTTGGCCAAGCCTGCACAGAGAAGATGTCACTGCCTCACGTTACACTGCCCAGGAGTTGCTCTCCCACTCCAAATATCAAAACTCTGAAATCCTTCTAAATTCCTTCCATTTTACCTCTTCACTTTCATCTCCCAATTTTCACATTCTGACTACTACACCTGCAGAAATGGCAGACGCGTTAGGGAGTATCTCCAATTCTCCTGGTCAGCAAGCCCTGTTTCTCTTATTCTTTTAATGAAAACGAAAATGAGCCAGAAACACAGAATTTAAAATAGATGAAGACTAACTTCAAGATAGCAACTTGGTTGTTAAGGTATACATGATCATTCCCTTGTCATTACCAATAATGTATTTCTTTGAGATTTTGTACTACCTACATATACTGTTTACTTTTGAAAACAAATGTCAATAGATGGAAATTTAGAATTCACTTATTCTAAGACAGCCTTTCCCAAATAATACATCAAAAAAAAAAAAAATGCAACCATTGCAGCAACTGACTTTCTTGTATTAAGCAAAGGCATGCATTTTCAACTTGCAATATTATTGTGATTTGGAACTGTTCAGTCAACTATGTGTTGCATTTCTCCCCTTGGAAAATTGACATTTTCTCTTAAACATCAGCATCTTGGTGCAGGCATTTAGCATGCCAGTTAAGTTGCCACATAGGCATGTCAGGTTCAACTTGGCTCTCTGCTTCCCATTCAGGTTTCTTATAACGCACACTCCAGAAGGCAGCAGGTATGAGTCAAGGACTTGGGTCTCTGCCATGCACATGAGAAACGTGAATGGAGTTCTAGCTTCCTGGATTTGAGCCTGGCACAAATTAGGCTGTTGCAGATATTTGGGGGGATGGACCAGAGAACAGAACATCATCATGTATGTCTCTCTCTGCTTTCAAATGAGTAAAAACAAATTTTAAAAGAATGTTTAAGGGCCATTTCTGTGGTACAGCAGGTAAAAATGTCACTTGCAACACTGGCACACAATATGGGTGCCATTTGTGTCTTGGCTGCTTCATTTCTAGTAACCTGTCTAATAATGGCCCAAAAAAAAGCAGTGGAGGGTTGCCCAATGTTTGGGCCCCTGCTACTCATGTGAAGCTCCAGGCTCCTTGCTTTGGAGCAGCCAGTAAAAGAACTGGCACCCTATGGGATCCTGGCACTTGCCAGGTGACGATTTAGCCACTGAACCATTGTGCCAGGCCCTACAAAAAAAAATGTATTTTTTAAAATTCCAGGTAAGGAAACAGACCTAGAGAAGTGCAGGGCTGCTCAGCAATAGCACGGGCAGAAGGAGACAGGGGCTAACCCGAAGGCGAAGTTGGCCAGGCCTGAAAATGTCAGCCAGGGGCAAGGGAGAGCAAGGGCAGAGCGGGGGACAGAAACATACGTCAACGCTCCCTTCAGGCAGAGCCAACACAGAGATTAATACAGGGGAAAATGCAAATTTCTATTTCATATATTTCAGAGAAAATCATATTCTGGCAGCACTTTACAGCTATGATTTACTGTCTAGCTATAAAATCTGATTTATAAGCTATATCTACCCGGTATGTAGCAATTCTGAGGACATGAATTTGACCCCATCTTTTAAAAAGCAGTAAATTGCAGGAGTAGGGTATGTTCACAATGAAAACGATCCCATAAGACAGGACTCGAGAAGGAAACCTAGACACGGGCCGAGAATGGACTATCGCAGAGAAGCGTTTCTCTCTGAGACTCTAAATTTTCCTGACCCTTGAAATGCTTCTCACCCTGCACTCTATAATTTTACTCACTCACACAGCCTCAGAACCCAAGGAATTTACCACTTTCCAGCACACTGACTTCCTCCTATTAACTAAATTACTATCTGGAGGCCTTTGATTTCCAGCAATGACCTTCAAGGTCGTATACAGTGAGCAAATTTATGCTTCAGTTTTTCTGTTCAATTTGCAATTTTCTTGGCTCCTGACCCTGAAGATGTGATTACATTAAAGATTGTGGAATAACAGACCAAGCAGGTATGAAGAGGGATGGCACAATGGTGCAGCAAACTAATCTTCCAACCTGTGGGGTTGGGATCCCATGTGGGTGCCAGTTTGAATCCTGGCTACTCCACTTCCAATCCAGTTCTCTGCTTACAGCCTGAGAGGGCAGCAGAACATGGTTCAAGTATTTAGGAACAACAACAACATGGGAGATTCAGAAAAAGTTCCTGCTTTGGATCAACTCAGCTCTGGCCACTGAAGCCATCTGGAGAAGGAAGGGGATGAAAATCTCTCTCTCTCCTTCTCTGCAAAATCTGCCTTTCAAATCAAAACAAATAAAAATCTTGCTTCATAATATAAATGTCAAATCTAAGGATTTTTACCTGTGAATTCTACCATGTTGTACTTTCTAATTATTTGTACCTTTCTCAATAAGACCCTGCAATATAATTCATTAATCAATCATCCATAAGAGATTGCTTGTGATCACCTGAGATTGTCGATATCCCCCCTCTTTTAAAAAAACTCTATTTTTATTGGAAAGTCAGATAAATACAGAGGAGGAGAGACAGAGAAGAAGATCTTCCATTTGATGATTCACTCCCCAAGTGGCCTCAACAGCCAGAGCTGAGCTGATCTGAAGCCAGGAGCCAGGAACTTCTTTCTGCGTCTCCCACGTGGGTGCAGGGTCCCAAGACTTTGGG